CTCTCTCAGAAAAATCTAACCTCCAGTAGGTGAGTAGGTGGAAATGGTAGGAAGTGCACGATAAGCCCCAGAGGAATGTATATCAGAACAGACATCCCATATACCAAAGAACCAAGACCCTGGGAACACAGATCCTTGAGATAAGCTTTATGGAAAGCAAATTAAAGGTGCAGAAGGGAAGGGAGTCGAGAGATGGAGGGAGAGAAGGGAGAACCGACATATGTCATGTAGACGCACCAACATCCCATTAATGATACGAACATTATGTACTGCCAGTGTGTACCAGTAAAAATAAAAATTTTAAAAAACAAAGCAAAATATAACAACAACAAATCCTTACTTAATCGTTTAAAGCCCTGGACACGGAGAAGCAGCTACTTCAATGCTCAGTGCTGTGGAACTTTCTAGATGGAAGAGCCAGATGAATCAGTGGGAGAGGGAACAGTGACTGCCACATAGCGTGTACTGTGGTTGCTGCTGCTTCTGCTGCTGCTGCTGCTGCCCTTCATATCTGCAAGCAGACGGGAATCCTCAAACACCGACAAAATCTGGAAAATATAATGGCATTTATTGCACCCTCAGATAATCCACAAAGCCCTGGATGTCGGTCTCTGTTTAGGAGAGTTCACGAGCTCCACCTTGACATCAAGTACATAGACAGTACTGCTGTGTTCGAGTTCTTCCTTTTTGGTATATTTTTTTCTTTCATTTAGAGAATACATTTTGCTTCATCATCCGTGAAGATTCTTCACATGAATGAGATTCTCTTTCTAGATCAAGGCGGCCGATTACTGATCATACACTGCCTGTGTTTGATGACCAATGAGGATACCTTCTTTGGCATTTCCAGAGACAGCTCATTAGGATTATTATGACCTATGCCCACTGGAGCTAGAGATGAGTCTTTTCCCAGTTTCAGCAAATGGTGAGCAGGTGTTCTCTACCATCAGCTGCTAAGAATTTGTTGACAGATGAAATGAAATAATACATACCTATTTGAACGAGCCTTAGCTCCAGAGAAGTGCTGCTTTACGTCTCTGCAACTATGAGCATGTTCACTGCTGAACCCTGACAGGTGGGTCTCAGGGCCAGGGAAGTAGGCTGCAATTCCCTTCATTTAAAGTGTTTCCAAACACAAAATGGAGCAAGCACAGACAACGTGAATAGAGTCTAAAGAAAGTAATGTTCCTTGGTAAGATCTGTACTCCATGCTTATCCCCCTGGTTCTCCCTTAGTATTAGGACAGAGAGTAGATTAGATTTTCTTCCCAGGGGTGTTCCCACAGAGTGAAGAGAAAAAGTATTTCTTATATTGCTAATATTTTTGGTCCAGGTGTTTGCATCACGTTAAATGAAGCAAATGTCAAAGAGTGATGAGGCTGTAGCTTACAGCATGTTTTTCTACCTTCCCAGACATCTTTTTCCTTGGGTATTTTCAATCCCTTAGACATGGATGTTTTTGGGGGAGGCCACATAATTTGTCACAGAGCTTTATGAACTGTAGGAAAAAAGTTTTATAAACAAAATTTGTTTTTATGGACCTTTTGGTAACTATTGCTGTACACACACACACACACACACACACACACACACACACATGTATTTTAACATGTCCAGGAATTTAAAGTCATTTTTGATCCTTAAACATCAATACATAGAATACCCCTTCTTAACTCAGCTCATTATAAACCTTGGTGAATTTTAAGGTCAGACAGCAATCCTCGCTGAAGCCAATGCTTTATACTAATGGTGGCTCTTCAAAAGAATTTGACTACTTTTATTTGAGCCAGTATGACATTTAATGTATTCTCTAACTGCATTCTCACATGTGATAATAACACAATTGCACATATCACAGTAGAAATAAAACTCATCCACAAAGAGTTTGTTCGGTGGAGGGGCAAACGACCTGCATAAAGGCTTGGACAGAAAATCCTGTGAAGGCTTGAACTTCTATTTTTAGGAGGGTAGCTATTCTCCGATAGAAGGATCTTTTTTCCTTCTCTTTTACTTAGCACTTTTTTCAGGCATTAACAATACCTGCAATGTTTTCTCCAGATGAAGTTATTATTCATATGGCAGATTTAACAGAGTACCTGTCACTTTTCAAAAGCCTCCCGAGGAGAAGCAGCTCTGCCCTTATCTGCTAGCTCTTCTTCCCTTTCCCAGAGAATGGATTTGTGAAGCTAAATGAAGCTAGAAGCTATTGCTGCTGTCCTGAACTGGTGACACTAAACTCCTCCTCAGGGAACTAGCTGCCTCTGGATCTATTAGAAGTACCTTTGGGGGAGTATGTGGGAAATCTTTATTAAAGAAATGCCTCTTAGTAGAATGTCGTATTCTCTTAACACTAGAATATTGGTCTTGAATATATAGGGCAAAACGCCAGATTTATGTAGCATGATAAATGCAGGGTTTGGATGGAGCTACAGTAAAACCCTTTCCTTAGGCATCTTAATGGTTGTCAGGTTAACAATAGACAGGTGAGAGGGAAACTTCTAAGGACAGTTCTATTTTTCTGTCTTGGTAATGGCTCCTTAAGAGCTTGAACATGCACAGCTATGAAATCTGAGTCCTAAATAAACTATTTTTGATTTTTAAAGTGAGTTACCCTAAAAATATTTATTTATAAACGTAAGCATTCCATCTTCTACCTCCACTCTTTCCCCCATTATTTCTGTGTTTTTAGAGAAAATGGAATCACGTCTTAATTCATTTATGGTATGAGGTCCAACTCAAAGTTCAGTGACACAGAGTGTGAAAGAACTGTGGTCAAAGGCAGATACAGCCAAGAACGGTGAGATGCAAGGTGCAGAAAACATGGCACAGTGTCTTGGTTACTTTTTTCTCGTTGCTGGGACAAAATATCTGATGACCAAAATTAAGGAAGGAAAGGTTTATTTCGCTTACAGTTTGTGGAGGTTTCAACCCGTACTAGGCATGATTATAAGGCAGAGTGGCACCTGGCAGAGGGCTGCATCCCAGGGCGGCAGCACAGCTAAGCGACTACCAGGACCCACACACCAGGGCAGAATAGAGGAGGAATGTCCCAAGCACTCTTTTTCCTCTCCCTTACATATGCAAACTATCCACCCCAGGGTGGGTGTAGCTCTCACACCCACAATCATTCAACTCTAATAGCCTGCCCATGGGCTGCAGGAGGCTTTGGGGGGACACACAGACAAAACATATAACACACAGATAGTTTTTTACAGCAACTATATGTCACATTATTGGCAGGTGCTATCTTTAATAGTTTGTCGTAAAGAGCTGTAAAACCAACTTGCAGGCCTCCTAAAGACAAGCAGCATTTGTTTCTACAGCACTCTGCTGTCCTTTGCATCGTACTACACTGGTAACATGGTGCCATGTGTTTGGTTGCATGGCTTTCTCGGTGAGCCACTGGAATATATGGTGTTTGACCTATTTTTGCACATTCCCAGAGTCCACAGAAAGCCTGGCACATAGGAATCACCTAGGATGTGCTTGCTAAATCTTTATCTCAAGACTGGGAGAAAGTATGATGTAGAAGCGCTATTCAAGACCTCAAGATGATAGGCCTGGGGCTAATCCCAGAAGGTTGTCTGGTTTCAGACGAGAATTGTTTTTTGTATGATCGAGCAGAAGACATGGGACAAAATTATACCCCCCTCTTCCATGTAAAGACTAGAAGCAAAGTATTAAAAAGTAAGCAGCATAGTTTATGCAGAAAGAGTAGGAAAGTGATACACCGGAGTGTATAAAGTCCACTTTTTGAAGGTGTAGTTTAGGAAAAGATAAATTCAGAGAGACAAGGAAAGTTAAGGTCATCATAGGAAATGTATGTAAAATTACTGGGTGAGAAAAACATTTATATTTTACAAGCACGTGCCTATCACCTTCAGAGGACAGGCACATTCATGTCAAAACATCCAGGAAACTTAAAAAATACTGATTTTTGACTTCAATTCTGAGTCTTCTTTAATAGCTATCATAAAGGGCCCACCAATTTTATCAGGCCTTAAAGTCAAAGGGGGAACCACTAAATTTTATTGTTACTTGTGATTTGTGCAGTTAGGGTCTCAAATGATCGTGAACACAAAAGATCAGGGACTAAAAAGGTATCAAAGCAAATAAAAATGTCTCAATTAATGATATGAATTATACCTCCAGCTAAATTTACATAAGAATTTATATAAGTGCAAGGATTACAGGTGTGCACCACCACACCCAGCTCTAAATCCAAGATTTTTTAAAAAATCATTCTTTAAAAAGAAACTTTATAAGATATTCTTTTTATACAACTAATTTTAAGCATTTTAAGTAGAAGTATTTAAACAACATGTAACTAGCAATTGGGGATTATACAAAAATTATAATTGTTGGCAAAGACCAAATTGATAACATTTTTAATATTAAAATCTTTCTATGTATATATATATACATATAATCAAAAATGTATACACACATTAGGAAAAGAAAAACTTGTATAAATATTTTAATACTAAATTTATTGAGATATCATAAGATTTGTATCTATCTATCTATAATCTGTCTATCTATCTATCTATCTATCTATCTATCTATCTATCATCATCAAGAGACCACAAAAATGTATATACACTTCAGGAAAAGAAAAAGAGTACTATTTTTTTCAACAGTTGGTGTTACCCTTGTATGGGGGACCCTAGAGGATGTCGTATATCACAGAAAACCCACTACACTTAGAGAAGAAATTGAAAATGCATGTGCAGCAATCTCAATGACCAAAGTTTCCCAAGCAGCTCTTCGCTGAGCTAATAAGTGTCTGAGAGCTAATGACCACCATTTTGAGCAACACTTGTAATTGTAGAGGGCAAAAGTAAATTGTATTAATCTTATGATACACCTACAAATTTACAGAGGAAACATTTATTTTGGTTCACAGTTTGTAAAAGTTGTAGTTTTTTTTTTTTTTTTTTTTTTCATTACATTATGGGAAACTTTCATCCTACATTTCAGGTTCTACCTTTTCATCCGTAGGGTTTGTTCTTTTCATAGAATCTTGAGTCAAAGATCTCCCCAGCATTTGCTGTATTCAAACAACTGACTGGAATGAGAAAAAATTTCCTGAATATTGCTGTAAAGATCCTGATGTCCAGAAGAGCCAAACCAGGACTCCCTGCTTACATCTCAAAGAAAGTTGTTTTTCATTTGTGTTGGATGTTACGTGAGAATGTTATATACATCCCTGTGCTACTTTGATAAAATATTAACAATATTAACAATAGTAAAATAAACATCATAAAATATTGAATATTAAAATGTTAACTAACATAAATAAAATATTACTAATATTGTTAATCTCTATAAAAATACATATTTTGCCTTGTAAAGATTGAATGCTGTTTAGTTTTTATTTTAGTTTATTAGCACACACTTGCAGTACGTAGTGTTCCCATTCCTGCGTGCAGTTAGTACACATACATGAGTTTAATTCTTTATGTCACCCCTTTTCCTTCCGTCCCCTTCCTTCCCCCTTCTCTCACTCCCTTTGTTTTAAATATGCATATTTTCAGTGTATAATGCACAGCTTTCTGAGGTTCACGTATTTAAGAAATCAGCTATATGTGGTAAAAGATACAAGGTAAGACAAGAATAGCAATGTTTAAATAATTGTATCATATCTATGTGTGGGTCTATGGGATTTCTAAGTTGATTTGTATACTTTTGGGTATGTTTGAATATCTTGAGTAAAAAGAAAATTTAACGTATAGTTTATTATATCCTTGGATTACTGTTGTCAATTTTGTCACACTTTTTACTGCTGCATGCAAATTACTTGCTGTTGACAGGTCTGTATAGTTTTATGATGCTAAAGCAATTTAATGATTTTCTTGTCACTGAGACGTAATACCTAACACCTACAAATCTAAAGAAGAAATGTTTATTTTGGTTCACAGTTTATGAAAGTTTCAGTTCATAGTTGGTGGGTTCCAAGGCAGGATGGCATGGCAGAGGAGAAACAGAGAGAATTCAAAGGGGGAAGGAAGCAGATAGACCCTTCTGGGCCACTCCCAGCCACCTACCTTTTCCAACCAGGCTTCACCTTCCACCACCACATTTAGCTATAAACTCATCAGTTCACTGATTCAATCACTTCCCAAAAGCCCCGCCTACCAGCACATGAGGCTTTGGGAGAACAACTAGCTATAAACTGCACCATGCACTTTTTTTCTTAAGTCTTTTTGAAACTCAGGGAATATACTAAAATTCAATTTGTTGCTGTGCTAGTCAAATAAAAATCATGGTGGGCCGTCATTATAGAAATCCAACTTATATTTTGTGTCTCTCTCATGAGCCAGAAATACATTTGTTATTGCTGGGTAAATGAAGAAGTTATGGGTCTTTCACTATATTGAAAATTCCAGTTGCCTCACTAATATATCATTAAATTAATTTCTGTTGGAGAAATAACTTTACAACTGAAATAAAATATCGTGTGCAGTTGATGTGTTTAAATTGATATGAAATGTATTAGCAAAAATCATAGGAGAGAACAGAAACTGAGCAAGCTGTAGCAGATCAGATCAGCTTTGTCACTGGAAGTGGAAGTCACAGATTATTAAGAGATAAATAAGAGTGGTTAGAAGAGGGTGAAAAAATATTACAAAGGGATTTCTGCTCTGCACGTCTCAGACACCACCTTAAGACACTAAACACAGAGGATGGATCATTGCAATGGAAGTGATGAAGAACTTGGTGGGCAAGGATAATACTGCTAAGAAAGTTCAATATACATATGTATTAGGTTGTTCACTCCCATTTCCCATCTTTTCTAAAAAAAAAAAAAATGCACATTAGAAGCAAAACTCCATCTGCAAGAGGATGTTTGAATTTGAAGTAAAGGAAAAAATGGGTTGCATTTCTTAGGCATAGCTTTGTATTTCCATGAGTAGGAGCTCAGTGGTTGCACAGAACTGTGTCCCTGAAAAGCGTCCCAGGTGGCCACTGGATTGTCATGGCTCTTCATTTCTCTTAACTCTCTGGGGCCTCAAGAAAGCTTCTCCAGGATTCATGTGAAAAGAAAAACGTGAAGAAAAAAATTGCATGTTTTGTATGGTCCTAGACACTTGTATATAGAAATCTAATGAAGTATTATCTCTGAGAAATACACAAGGAAAGAAATTATTTTTACTATGGTATAGAAATTGTTTAAGGACATAAAATCGAGAGGCTTAAAGTAGACCGCTACAGATTGTATACTTTGATTGTGAAGGAGAGAACCTTTACAGGTGGCAATAAAAAAATGTAGCCGGAGAGTGAAAATGGAAGTTAGGATCCTTGTACTTTAGAATGCAGGACCTTAATCTGAACAACTAATTTGAAGACAATATGCAATGTACCAACCATTGGTGAATTACTACCATCTTGTTTAGTGAATCTGTGCATCCTTTCTAATGTTTTTTATTATTATTTTTTATTCTCTTTAGTGGTTTGATCAATCTTGCATTCCTACATCTGGTAATCTGAGCAACTTCGCTGAAGATAACAATATGTAATATAACAACCACTGTTAGTTCCTATCATTTTGTTTTGAAGCCTTGTATAATTTTTATTGTTTTGGTGTTGTTTTTGTCTATGTTGTTGTTATTTGTTTTTGTCTATGTAGTTATTTTGTTATTGTTTTTTATTCCCTTTAAAATAAAAAATAATAAAAGTAAAATTCAGGACCTTAAACTGCTTCAAATTTCTCCTTCATCTGCATTAGTATCTATTTAATTATTTAAGTGACTACGGCATTTTATCTTATTTTCCAAATTAAAGATTCCCTTGTATTTTAAAATGGGCTTGAACTAACGTGAAAGTATAATAAATCTTCATCTGGATTTTTCTAATGTAAAGATACCTTTGCTAGTTTTTATGGTTTTATTTCCTTGCTTTTAAAAGGTTTTATTTGCTTCATTATAAGATGTTTTCCTTTATTACCTTGCTTATAATGATATAGCTTTAAAGTTTCACTCTGGTTCAGAGAACCATCCTATCTTCCCTGGAAAGAATCCAAAACACAACTAATGTATCAGTTAGCAGCACATTTACCACTTATCAGTACAGGCCAGTGCGAGACTAAATGCCAAAATCAGTTTTCTCTTTTCTCAAGAGATGTTCTACCACGGCTTGCTACTATGCAGTCAGAACGATAAAAGAATTCTAATATAAAATGCTGGCCTGATCCTCAATCCATTTTAAACAGTTAACATTTTGATAGGATAAGTAACCTATAAAGCACGTAATATAACAATCATTCATTAGTTGCTTTGATTACATCCTTCCCTTCCACTCTGCTAGATAAGTGCATAGAACATCTCAGCTTTGAGTATATTCAGCGTAACATTTTGTTATAAATTTATACCACATAAACAATATATAGTCTACAGAAGTTTAGAGTCCACCATAAACTTTCCCATCATTATACTAAGTTTAGTGACAATTTTGTGTTCAAAATTTTAAAAAATAGTTAACTATTAGATTTAAATTTCAAATTTGTTCTTTAACTCCATTCATTTAATTGAGTTGCTAATTATTAAGTGGTTTATATTCTAAAAGAAAACATGGAGAATGGTTAATAAAATTGATTTTCTCCCTGTATAATTTGGGTCCTGTCATGTTTAGTTTCTAGAAAATCAAATGCTTTAAAGTTATTGCATATTTAATCAATATTCTTTTCTTTTCTCATTGTTCTTGTTCAAAATTAAAACAACTGTACTATTTAGCATATGAAAGCCGTTTAACTTCTTAAAAGTGGAATTTGACTTCAGAAGTAACATTTTGAAAGAACAGTTCTTGTTCCTAATTTCTCTGATAATGTTACATGTTTTAAACATTTTATAAATACATAACATGCTTTAACATTTTACTTTTATATCCACTTTCATAACAATATATTTTCTCTACATAACTATGCCATATTCTTGTGGTACATTCTATTTGACACAAATGTTTTACTTTTCCCTTATCCTTGTGACGTGTTTATTATTATCAGTACCATTTTTAATTCATTTCATAAGAAAGCTTTGTTGAGTGGCTGTTGTGAGCATTCACGCAGTAAGGAGCCCAGAGACCCCCTATATCCTACTCTTCAGGAATTTATAGTTATTTAGAAAAAGGTGTACCAGTGTATCACACCATATTTGAACACAATTAAGGTAATTAGAAATTATATTTAAATCTTTTAGACAACCAGATTTTCGTCCTCAGAGGCTTCTACCAAATCCAGTTATTGAATCCAGAAACAATTCCAGTACATGCCCTGTTAAATTTGAATATGAAGAAATAAACTGATAAAATGAGGAGACAAGCAGATAGTTTAAAAGTACAGAAAAATACATCAGAAGAAATAATTTCCATCTGATTCTTTAACAAATTGTTTTCTAGTTTAAGTGCTTTTTTTTTTACAAAGACCCCTTGTAGTTGTTGCTAGATACTTAATTTGTGATGTACTTACATTCACTCAGGTGTGAAGAGCAAACATCACAATCTTCCAATAAGATAGTTCACAACTGATAATTTGAGAGCAACCAATTAATAATGTGTTTTATTAATAGAATAAAGGTATTTTAAACTCTGAGTATATTTACAGTCCTATACTATGTCTCATAAAATATAGTAAAGTGGCCTTGTGTGAACTAACTGTTCATTTGAGAAGAAAAAGTGTATTTATAAAGTATAACATAAGCCAGGGATGTAGCTCAGAGGCACAGTGCCTTGCTTGGGAAGTGCAAGGTCCTGAGTTCAATTCCTGGTACAAAAAATATATGTAACATAAGCATTGTCAATAACGATAAAGCAGTCCAGTGTTTTGGGACAGAGCAGGGAAATTCTATGTCTGGCTGAAATGGTCAACATGGATTGCATTTGTAAGAAGAGATAAGGTTTAAATAGATGAGCTGGAGAACAGATTAAACTGATACAATCATAGGGATAATGTTCATAGCATGAACAAATACAGTGTGACAGGAATGTAGAAGGCAGGTTTGGAAGGCTGTTTGGATTAGTACCCACGGAGCAGCAGATATAAGTACATGTGCATAGGGGAGGCTTGCCCTGTCAGGGAAAGTAGGTAAGAAGTAGTGGCCAATTGTGGAAGCCAGGAGGGCAAGTGGTGCATGAATTTTCTTCTATAAGTAGTGTTGAACCTCTAAGGGCTTTCCAGTTGCAATCAATTCAAGTTCACTGCTTGTCGGGCTTGTCAGACACAACGCCTTACATCTAGACATTAGTTTATATTGAACAGTTTAGGAATATTAATATGGCAAGTTTTTAGA